GGAATTTGGGTGGGGGGGGGGGGTTGCGGGGCTTGTGTTTGTTTTTTTGATTTTTTTTTTTTTTTTTTTTCTTTTCTGCTTCAGTCTCAACTTTCCCTCTGATAAGAAGCACTCAACCCACACTTGGTCAGATAACACCAGTACAGTCACTTCGCCTTTTCCTGCCTCCCTTTGCTTTGAACTTGGGTTGTGATCATGGGGCAACCATTTCATTCCTTGGCTTGGAAAAAAACCCAGACTAATTAACCTTATCTCAGCTGTCATCTTGTCCATGTTGCCAGCAAGGAGGGAAGCTCTTTTCAGATATTGTTGTTTATTACTAGCATTAGGATACTGCAGTAAAGCAATAACTGTCAACCTTTGTGCACCGGCTGCAAGTGTGTTGGGAAGGGATCGTGCTCTTTGCTCTGCGTCGGCACGGGGAGACGCAGGGCCAGAGGCGGCCGGTGGGTACGGAGCCAAACGCAGCTCTCGCCTTGCTGGTGTGGTGTTTAATGAGAATTGTGGGTTTGTCTGGGCTTTTTGTGTGAAACAAAGTTAGCTGATAATAAAAGACTGAAATACTGAATATTTTGGGCATAACTTAAACGTTTTATAAAAAAAATTTGTGTGTGCGCGCCATTTAGGGTGTCCTGTGTGGAAATGAAGCCGGGGGTGCTGGCGTGGTCCTGGGAGGGCTGGGGGCTGCGACTGCAGCGGGAGCTGCCGGATCCGGCCGTGCCTGGCTGCCCACGTGGCTTTGCTTTTGGCCATCTGTCGCCCTTCCAGGGCGCTGCTGCTCCTCACTCCCACTCGCAGCTTTTTCTGGGTTTGTTTTGCTGTATGCAACTTAAGAACTTGTTTTTAACCTTTTCCTGGGGGTGGGGAGCGAGGGAAGGGAGAGGAGGGCAGGAAGAGGTGACTGCAGAGAAGCGTTTTCTCATCTCAGCCCACGAGGCCGGTGCTGGCCCCGCTGCTGCCAAACCTTCGTGCCTTGGCAGAGGGGAGCCCGGTGGCGTGCCCAGCCCGGTGAGACGGAGCTCCGGGAGCACGGGGGAGCAACCTCTTGCTTCTGAAATGTCTTCACCTGAATTTTCCTGGATGTATCCCCCCTGCTGCACATCGTTTCTCTATCGCTCGTCTCTTTGAAGCTGTGTTTTTCAAGGAGTGACGCTCGATGTTGTGCTAACCGCTCTGCGCAGGGGAGGTTCTTCATTTAGTGCTGCCTGGAGCTCACTGGAAGGAAACGAAGACGCGAAGGAAATCTGTTCCGACAACAGACTGGCGGAGCAGCCGAGGGGAGCTGCCCCCCCCCCTGCCGTGCCCGCAGCCCCGCGCTGCCTGGAGGAGCACGTTCCAGGGGCAGGGCTGGGGCTCAGGCAGGTTCGTGCATGCAGCTCAGGGACTCCAAAGCACTTAGGAAGGAATTGGGATACCATTTATTTTTTGTTTGTTCGTTTTGAGTGATATTTGGCTTTTTTCAACCCATTATCAAATCTTTATTAAATGCAGAGGACTTTCCTTCCTCCCCTCCTTTCCTTTGTCATGTAGACATTAAAACATTATTTCTCATACCCAGCTCTCCCAGCATACTTTACCACGAGCACAGACTTTATTCCTTTCTTTACAGATATCACCATTGTAAAGGGCTGCCCTCAGTTATATTTGCATTAGGCCGATGTGCGTGTCGACATGATGCTGTTAGGCTGTGACAGATGCGTGTGTGTTTTGGCGTGGCTGCACGCCGCCTCGCCGTGGCTCCTGGACGCGGCCCGCGGGCAGTGCAGGCGTCCTGCGAACGCCGTTGCTGTCACGGCTGCACAGCTCCCAAAAATGCACTCTCAGATCCCAAGGGAGACTTGAGACGATTGTAGGTGTGGGTTTGGTTTGACATGATATTTCTACTTGCTGCCAGTTTAGAGAAAATACTGTGATGTTTAAGCCATGTCTAAGCATTAAATTTATTTTTTTTTTTCTGCGTGACCAAATCAGGAATTGCTGCCTTGGTATTTGATTGTTGGTACTGTGGCTGCTTTAAGTCTTGGCCACTATCCATGTTCCCGATGCCCTTGCTGCTGGGTGGCAGAGGCTGGTATGCTTATCTGGGCCCTTAATTTTAGCCTGGCAGCTCTTGAAACATCTAGAGGCCAAACCGCAAATAGCGAGTGAGGACTCTGTAAAGACATTTGGCTCGTGCCCTTGAAGCGATTGGCCTGTGAGGGGGGCTGCTGGGTTTTAGGTGGCCTCCAACTTCATACGATGAAAGCCTGGACAATGGCTCCAAGCTGAACTAAGATCTTCGAAGAGGTGTTGCAGGATGGGTACAAATACTCGCCAGGTCTTATGTCAGCTGCAATTTTCCTGAGGATTTAATGTACCAGGAAAATGTCTGAACTCAGTTTACTTTAACCTGGAAATGCGGCAAGGCTTAATGGGAAGAGAATAACAGAAATCAACCCCATTTGACACTCGGCAATCTAACTTGCAACTTGGGCAACATGTGGCTCTCCTCAAGAGCTTATCCCTCAGGCCTCTGGTTTAACTCAGTCTTAAATGCTCCATATGCTTCTACACTGTAGCTTGCCTGAGGTGTCCTTACTGGTACTGACTGTACATCTTATTCCATCTGGTTGCTCTCTGGTATATCCCAGTACTTATAATTAAAATTTCTCTTTGCAATTCACATGTGGGCTTTTGGAATGACTCCGCCGTGCTCTGTTGCCGGTGTGTGTGTATGCTGTTTGCTGGTTGCATGTGACAGTTGTATTGGCCAGGGCTTTCTGCACTTTGGTGTCGAAATAGAGACGTGAGGGGGCTCAGGAGATGGGGCTGGGAAAGAAGCTGCTTT